GTGGAATTGGAAAATGGAAAATTTCAATGTTGCGAAAAAGAGTATATCAACAGTTCTTCTTGTGGTCAATAAGCATATAAAGGGTGGTAGAAATAGGGCAGTAGATATAAATAGAAATACACCACCTCGCTTTGACGTAAGATGACAGCTAACATGTCGCGACCCTTTAAAAATGTAATGTAATATTTAAATTAAGAAACGTTTATATTAAATCTAAACACTTAGGATATTTCTTCAGTATTTGTTGATATTTCAGTGAATTTGCTTATAGGAAGAAAGTCAAAACTATTATCATTGTTATTTACAAAGTTTTTGAAATACTTTAAAGATTGCAGAAGAAATGGAACAATGAACGACACATTATGATAGCATTGTTCACAAGAACCTGCTAATGACGCTAGTGAAATTTCGAACTTTGTAAGATAGAATAAAAAAAAATTCAAACAAATAAATAATTTAAAAAAAAAATGGATTTATACTATTGAGACTTCAATACGTAATATAATAAATAATATGTACTAAACTAATTAGCCGTAATAATTTATTAAATAAATATAGAAGTGATAAAAAAAGTGAATATATCAAATTAGAAATGTCTAAAATTTTAGGTCATCAGATAATGTCATAAACCCACATCTTCTCAATATATATATATTTTTTAATGTTCTTCATTATAGTTTTTCTTTTAATTCATGAACGGTAATTCGATAACACCTTTAAATATATCGCTTCTAGTCAGAGGCCTGACATAATTCCATTTATCGTCATAACCATCAAACAGTTGCATCCACTTAAAAACAAACGCCTCGAGCGGGCACTCTGTAAACTGACGTACCAATAAGTGATCGTAATTTATGTAACACTAAATCATCCATTTTAATGAATGAAATAAGTCTGTAACTAATTTTTGAATATCTTTAATAAACTACTGCAATACCTCGCATAGTGCGGCTTCGATCTATCCTGATTTACTATATATTTATTCAGAAAAGTTTATTTTGTTGTTGTTTGTTTTATGCGCTTTTAACGTTATCGATTAGTCCGGTATTAAACAGTTCAGTAGATATTGGCGGAATGGTTTACTCGCACTGTGTGAGGTATTGTTGTACAGTGAATTCGGACTAATCAAAGCTACACTATGTTGTATTAAATTACATAAATAGAAAGAAATTGTTGAAATTTTGGGTGGACCATAATTTAAAGCCTTAAAAAGAAAGCCTTTCCCATTAAAAAGACAGCGACGAAAATGTTTTCTTAACAATTAAAAAAAAACGAATGAATTAATTACTTCCACTTTGTATCAGAGTCATTATCATTTTGCGGAACAATATGAAGAATAGAAAACGTCCTTTGTGAGATGAGACTGTTCCATTTAAAGCCATCAACGAAATTGCTGGATATCCATAGAAAGTTTTTTTTCTTGTAATTCTGTGCGTGTTTCGTATGAGAAACAATGGATGGACGAAATAATATCGATTATATCGATATTAATATTCGACTTGGATAATATTTTCTTGTGTAAACTGGACACTTTAACTGGAAAAGGAAATGCTCGAGGCGCGAACTTTTCGTTTGTTCCGGATTAGCGCAAGGAGGAGGCCTTCTTTTGCTGCTTGTTACACGACAACCGGCACGTCCTCAACGGTTATACAAATCCTTCTCTGCACATATACTCTATACATAAATACACACGTGATTACCGCATTTCTTCAAATGCTATTACAACAACAAAAGAGAGTGAAAGTGTTAGGTAATCGGTTGCGCAATTCGGTGGATCGTAACGATCCGTGTCTCAAAATTTATTCTTGCAAATTTATTCAGTGGACATCGCAGTTTATTTACTTGCTTAGTTCATCAAGAAGCACACTCAAATCATGAAGCAGATACTAGTGTTTCCACGCTAATCTTCATTAATGAATACCGCTCACACTTGTTACGTAGTCAGGTGTATTTAGTTTGTAAAAGAAATACTTTCTTTCAAAATCTCCGCCCCCCTTTCACATAGATTTCTCGTAGGCACTTTTTTTTTGTTCATTTCGTCTACCTTCCAATTCAATGTACATTTCTAATTTACACTTTTGAAATGTTTTATTTTTTCTAAACATTAGCAACAATTCAATTCACCAATTTTGAATAACTTAATTCATGTTATTGTTAATCAAACTTTTGAAAAACAACTAAATATTGAATAATTAGTAATAAAATACTTAAAAACAATAAAATATACGTACTATAATTAAGAGAGTACTAAGCCAATTATTATTTTATACTATTTTGTATAGTACAGTTTTCTTGAGTTCGATCCAATTCTAATTTACACTTTTGAAATGTTTTATTTTTTCTAAACATTAGCAACAATTCAATCCACCAATTTTGAATAACTTAATTCATGTTATTGTTAATCAAACTTTTGAAATACAACTAAATATTGAATAATTAGTAATAAAATACTTAAAAACAATAAAATATACGTACTATAATTAAGAGAGTACTAAGCCAATTATTATTTTATACTATTTTGTATAGTACAGTTTTCTTGAGTTCGATCCAATTGCATTGCATAATAATGGCTTGTTATGTGTTTTTCATTGAGAATCAAATGAAATCTAAAAAAATAATTTCCACCTGAGTAAGCAAACATTAACTTATTCTGAATTGAAAGAGTGATGATGTATGCGTTTTATCTTGTATTACTTTTGAACATGTATAAATATTGCTGAGATTATGATGTCATTTGTTAAGAAAACATTGCACTTAGAACTATTTCTAGTGATAGCTTTTTATATCATTTTATTATAATACTACAGTCATACCTCGGTTAAGGTTGCCTCTAAGGACGAAGTTCACAATTATCCGAAAACATTGGCAGTTCCTAGAAATAAGTCAATTTAAAGTTTGGCGCAAAATATGGACACAATTTGTACTAGAAATAGGAAATAACATCAATGCAATAGATGAAATTATCAAACAATGTCAACTAATAATTTTCAGTAAATGTCGGTGAAGAGTATAATAGAAATTTCTTGAATACGTTTATGATGATTTTCAGAGGAAGAACGATGTAATTTCGTTAATTAAGGTATGACTGTACAATAAATACTGTTTTCCTATCTAGAAGACAATCTAGCCAAGTAATTTCCTTAATGTCTTTTTATTGATAGATTGTAAATATCTTGAAACATAGATGTTACATAAAAAAATATATACCTTTTGCAATAAACTAACTGTTTTTCAGTCATTTGCCACAGCACGTTGCATAAATGTACTTAATATGTGTGCATTAATGGTCCTTATCTCAAACTGGTTGTAACTGTATACGTTTAGATGTAAATGCGCGCCATATACGAACGAATAGGTCGTTACGATTTCGAAGAAACCAGAATGGTGAGTATTGAGATGTAACGAAAGGCTGACCGAAAACTCGACCACAGAAGCATCAATCAGCCGCGATGATACGTTCATATAATTATCTTACGCATCTGTTTCGATGCGTAATAATCACACCACCGTTAGCATTCTTTTGGAACCTTCTATTTACCTTTTTGTACAATTATACTGTTCTTCAGTATTGCCGTTTTTCATCATTCAGCTGCAACCAAGCCTTTGCAGTAATTATACTAGTTCTATAAGTTTACAGTTAATATAGTTAGCTTATTGTTGGGTTTAATTTGATTTTAATGATTCGATTTATATATGAGCGTTGCACACGCAATGTTTGTAGTGTTGTATATTATTTTGAAGAAAACCTATTATCAAAGAACTCAACTAGCTATAACTTTAATCAATTATAAAAGCACAAACATAAATAAACTATATAACTTAGAGATATGACATGGAATTGTAAATTTTATTAATAAACATATAATTACTATTGACTAATAAAACACATTATAAATTTAACTACAAATGTTGGAAGTTTCTACTATAAATATTAACATGAGTTAAAACGAACTAAATTTCAAATTTGGTGCAATATGTTTAGTGAAGTATATAGACCGATAGATGGCGAATGAAGAGTAAGAAAGTAGATTTTTAGAAACTTAAATTATTTATTTATGCTTTTGAAACTATACAATTTGTTAACTGCAATTTAATCAATATTATTAATAGTAGGTTATTATAATTCCTCTATTGTTGGAATATTCATCATTAGCAATTGACGTTAGTAGGATTATTAATTGATTTATTTACATTAAGTGGATTATTACATTCTATTATTAATAATTATAAGTAAATTTGACTGGAGATAAAATTAATGGGATAAACTTTTATGTCACACGTTTACTTTTATAAAATGTAGTTAAGCTTTTATAAAATTACAGCGATATCTCGTATAGTGCGGCTTTCATTAGTTAGTTTTCACTATAGTACGGATTGAAAATGAATTGAGCAAAATAAAAATAAATTCTAAAAAATTAGTACACAAAATTTGTTATATGTATAAATGATAGTTTTTTTTGTTTTTAAACGGTTTAAACTCCTCGATTAGTCCGGTTTCAAAATGTCCGGTATATTGGGATACCCGATTATCCGCACTATTCGAAGTATTAGTGTACATTTCCAATTAAGTAATGGCATTTTATTTAAAATTTCTTTAAGTTATTTGAATATTTTTATTCGAAAATTTTGTAAGTTTTTTATTTAATACAAAAATCTTTTTGGATTCGTATCTTATCATAATTAAAATTGATGATATTTTCTTTATATTTTAATACGTGTAAGGAATAGATTTGTAATTAAAAAGTTATAAATATAATTTATTTAAAGAATGTCAATGCGATATTTGCGTATGTACAATTAAGCAGAAATACCAAGGTTCACAGAATACTCAAATAAATAAAATACGAAATTCTAAGACTTTACACACACACAAAAAAATAATAAAATTATCAACAAATGGAGCAAACCGGGTATTTTCGAAAATAATATTACTTCCCTAACTACCATAAGATAATGACTAGGTACATTAAGTAATATGAAAAATTATTAAAATAGTAATGAGGCAACTAAATATAATCGAAGAAGGGAATTGGCACATTGATGGATATTCAGGGTAACGGATCAACGTTATCCGGACGAGCGAATCTTGTTGTCCCAATCTTCCTTGATCATATCGGCGCCCTTTTCTCCAATCATTATAGTCGGAGCGTTGGTGTTACCGCTGACTATAGTTGGCATAATACTAGCGTCTATGACTCTCAAATTGTTAATACCGTGCACCCTTAAACGAGGATCAACCACAGCATCCGGATCCTCGCTTGGACCCATCTTGCACGTTGAAGTCGGATGGTAGATGGTGAATGTGAAATGTCGGATACTGCATTCCCAATACTCATCAGTATCGAATTCGTATTGCCTGCAACCGGGGAAGGGCATCTTATGCGGCCTTGAATTGAACCTCTGGAACGCTTGAGTAGCCGATATATTTAAAGCGATTCTAATTCCTTCGATTAAAGTTAAAACATCTTCTTTGTGCGTGAAGTAGTTGGGATTGATGTCAGGGTATACGTTGGGATCTTTAGATTTCAAACGCACCCAACCGGTGCTCCTGGGTCTCAAAAGCAACGGCAGCAGCGTCCAAGTTTCCGCTTTCTTCAATGGTTTGTACACAGTGTTGTAGACGCTGTCGCGAAGCCCTGTGATTTTCTTCACTTGCTCCCCATCGGAGTTGATGCTGCTCGGAGCGAAATGGTATTGTATATCGGGCCATAAACCTGACTCTGGCGCGTACTTAGTATTAACAAACGCTAAACCTTCGACGCCGCCCAAAGAAGTCATCGGTCCACGCTCCTTCAAAATATACTCTAAAGCCACAGCCATAGTTTGATACCGGTCTTTCTGGAACGTAATCGGATCATCCACTATAAACGTCAAACCGCCTAAGCCCACGTGATCCTGTAAATTGTGCCCAACCTTGAGATCGCTCAACACAGGTATCTTGAAATCCTGCAAATGTTCTTTGGGACCAACTCCGGATAACATGAGTATCTGCGGGCTACCAATCGCACCAGCCGAGAGAACAACCTCTTTTCTGGCCTTCACAATGTACTGTCTTCCGTTCCTCACGAACCTCACGGCGAAGGCTCGTTTCGATTTTGGGTCTATTAGGATCTTCTGCACTTGCGAGCGAAGGGCTATGTGCAGGTTCTTCCTTAAATGAACAGGTCTGAGGAAGGCTTTAGCCGTGCTGCATCTGGATCCTCTTCTGATCGTGCCTTGGGATAACATGAATCCGGTCTGCTTTTCGCCGTTCAGATCGCGCACCTCGTATCCCATCTCTTTGCCTGCTTGCAGGAACGCTATGGAGAGTGGCGTCCTCCAAGGTGATTCTTGAACTGTTAGATAACCTCCGGATTGATGGTACGGTGTTTTCGTTAAGTACGGATTTCGATTATCCTCGGATTTTAAGAAATAGGGAAGCACGTTTTCGTATTCCCAGCCGGTGTTTCCGTTCGCGGCCCACTGTTCGTAATCTCGTTTATTACCTCGGACGTAGATCATGGCGTTCAGGACACTCGATCCTCCTAAGACCTAATCAAAACCAAACAATTAAATTAAATATGTGAATATTAGGGAAAGGTTGCCTAGATTGGACCACTTTCGTAATTTCTATAGTGAATTTGCAATTAGGTTGCCTAGTTGACTAATACTAATACGAGCATCTTGTGGAGTGCACATAGTAATAATTTAACAATTACTTATTTTATTAAGAGACTGATTCTGGAAATTTGTTGTATTTACATATTGTTCTTATAAATTCATGTCAGTGTCAAATTAAATACAAAAAATCAATAAAGTAAAACCATCAACCATTTATTCAGTGGTCCATTCTGGGAAACTGGTTGCAATTGTCTAATATTTTTTATTTATTACTTTAAAGTACAGCAATACCTCGCATGGTCCGGTTTCTATCAGTCCGGATTCACTATAGCCCGGTTTACAAATTTCAAAACATACTAAATAGTAATTGAGCAAAAAAGAGAAAACTAAATAAATTATCGGTTTTTCTCTTGACTATATAAGTCTCGTTTTGTGCGGTTGCTTTTTGTATGTAATCCATTAGTCCGGTTTCAAAAAGTGCTGTAGACTATTTGTTTTGTCTATTTCATTTCTTTAATAATTTCGTTATTTTCTTAATAAAAAAGGGGTAGGTTGTCCAAATTCAGAAAACCTTCCCATTGCTTTACTTACTTTTCCTCTTGGCCAATTGCAACGGTCTCCAATCATGGCCAAGCAATAAGGAGAATCCCCGGGTGGAGACGTTTGATACATCCAATCCATTTCGCTCATTTGTACGTACCCCGCAAGAGTCGGTATATCAGATATCTCGTTCTCGTCTCCACCCGCCTCCAACAACAAAACAGTCCACTTTGGATTTTCAGACAGTCTAGAAGCTACAACAGCACCAGCAGAACCACCTCCAATGACGACGAAATCATATTCCCTGTACAACTGCAAACATTGAATTTCATTAATTAACAATAGTTCAAAAACATTCGAATCTCATCTACTAACCCTTCTGGCATCGGTCGGATGAGTCTCGGGGTCGTGGTTCATATATTTCATGAAAGCAAGACCAGCTGCGAATATTGGAACCAACCCAATTAATGTTACAGGACTCGCAAAATGCGCGATATGAGCGATCGGCCCTAATATTATAGCCATCGTTTACAACGTGTAAATAAATTGAGCAATATTCAATAAATAACCCAAAACAAAAATTCCTGCAAACAAAAACAATTTGAATAAAAATCAAGTTGTCGATGAGCTTGAGGATTAGCTTACAAAGGGCGAGGACGTCAAATCCACAAACCCATGTTAATCTCTTGGCGAATCGCTTTTGGTATGTAAGTCCTCAGTGAAGGTCCCTTATTCTGATACCTGTACACACTCCTATGTTTGTCTACACCAGTCTTGATGAAGAGATGTCTTCGAATGTAATCGCACTGCGACGTCAATGAAACGTAAATTTGACTCGCCTTTCCTCCGCCTCTGTCGTCTTCTTTCCTGTTTCCCTTCGATAAATCATCTAAGCCCATAGCATAGACTCACCAAGGATCAACTGAAAGTTCAATATTCTTATTAATTATTAGTGGTTCAAAAACCGGTTAATAAAAATAAACTGGTTTTAGATTCTAGAATTTTAACTAGAAATCATCGGATCATTAAAGGTTTAATTTTAAGTATTTAAATGTCAATATTTTTAATCGTTAAAGCTCAAAGTAAAACCCCTAAATATTATAACTAAATTTAATTTAAGTATTTTATATAATAGAAATTGGAAAACCGATTTTTTTTTTTGAAATACTGAAATTCAAAAAATTGTACAAACCCTCAAAATTAACTGCAACAACAAACTGTTGATTCTATAATACTAATAATTACTAGTATTCTCATTTTTTTTAATAACTACGTGCGATGGACAGCTCACAGAGAAAGTAGCATTAATTCCAATATTTTAGCTGATTATTGCTTTCAAAAAGTTTCACTCTTTTATATTTTCACGAATTAATTAATCTAATCGCGATCATAATCACACTCAATTATATTTCCACCACATTTTCTCTTCACTTTTCAACTGGCAGAATATTATATAAACGTGCTTCACCTTTTTATATTACATATTGCACAGTATTATGTAGTGAATACATTTTGAAAACGAAACTTGCTCCAAATTTATTTCAAATTTATAATTTTGAAATGATTACGTTATATTTAATTAATGGAAAAACATATATTTTAAGTATGTTTTACATACATTTTCATAAATAATTTTATGCAAAAAAATATAACAAATTGTTGTAATCATCTCGAATAGTCCGGACTAATAGAGGAACTGAATATATACGTTAGTGTACTAATTTTTTTAGACTTTGATTTTTCTCAATTAATTAATTTGTTTTTGTAATTTGTCGGACTATACGAGGCATTGTTGTATTTGATTACAAAAGTTTATTTTTTTTTGAACATATAAAATGCACAATTTCACTAATTTCTTTACAAATTAAAGAGATATACTATTATAAATCAAGTATTTTTTTAATATTTTATTAATTTTTAAAATATACCTTAAAAATGATAATTTAGGATCAAAAAAAATACATTCACTTTGGAAGGTCGTCAACAAGAAATTAAAGTTCAAAATGTGTTCAAAGTTCGTTATTATTTGACATTTTACACTAACCAAAATTATGCAACTTTTGCCAATTAAATAAATAATTTCATAAAACTTAAATATTTATTGAATTGATCAAAAAATTTAGAAATTCAATTAACAAATAATCTTATTAGATGAAAGTTGCGGTTTATCACGAGGCCGGTTTCTAATTAACACTAATTCAAGAAAAGTTGATAAATAAATACGAAAAGTATTTGGATAAAGTGACTATGAAATCAAAAATATAACTGAAACCTGTTGCAATTTGCTAATGAATTCTGGTATTATTGCCGTGCGAATGCTGAGAAGCAAAAGTTCTGACCCCAATGTTTCAAATGCATAACGTAGCGAGTAAAAGTGAATAGTTTTGTACGAGCAAGTGCGCCGGTAAACGACCTTGCCTCACTTTTCTCAAAAAAAAAATATAGAAAATCGTTTTTTTAATTCAATGAAATGTCTTCAAAACACAAGTTTAGATCTCTTATTGAATGAAATTAAGGTGTTTTAATATCATACATGTAGTTTAATGATTTTAATAAACTTGCCTGAATTCCTTGGGATTTGTATCCATTGTAATAAACCAATTGCATTAACATGTCGATGCAATTCAACAACAAAATTTTATTAAATTATAAGATTTCACTGCAGATGGTTGAATTAATCTACTTTCTTCGTGCGTTATTTTTTTTATTTATTTAATTAAATGATGGAGTGTAAGAAAAAGTTGTTGTTGTTTAAATAATTCAAAATTAAACACAAATTAGTTGAAATATTACACGGACGCGGTTTTCTTTAAATGCTCGGATCGTATGCGCGTTTGGTGGTTTTGATGGTTCTTGACGCAAAGGCGAACTTCAGTGAAATCCCATCCAGAACTATTCGAAACTCTCGGGTGGTGCGCGAATGTCTGCGCGTTTCGTCTCCGACCGTCACTTTCACCAACTATTTATATTTAATTTACTAAATATTTACCAATCATAAAAGGAAAAGCAATGCACAAATCAAATTAATTTAAAGAATAGATCCTCCTCATCTTTGATTTAATCAAAACAAATACACTTGATTACTCCAATTTTGTATTATTAAATTAATAGAAATTATTAGAAATAATAACATAATTTATAACTATTAGATAATTATTATTTCTTCATATCACTTATAGTTAATTAAATTTGCAACTAATTATTTTCATTTATTTTATGTAATTTTACATATAAAATATCGATTTTGTAAATTGATTTCTTCAAAAAAAAATTGTTAACCTTAATTAAATTTTCTCGAAGGTAACTATTAAAAATTAAGGTTTAGATAAAATGATTAATTGTTTAATTTTCATAAATTTTACTATATTTTAAAAATGAAATTAATTTGCCTTAAACTCAATTAAAAGCATATAAACTTGGCTTTTAAACATTTAAAATGTTATCTAGTCATCATAAGAATCAATTTAAAACAATTGTTTTGTTTATTGTGTTATTTCTAAAGACTGGAATAATAAATCTGGTGATTTTTGTAGTAACTATATGTAATTTGCACATAATTCAGAAACGCCATCTGTGTTAATTACATAATACTACATTCAGACTAGTTGTAATATATTAAATACGATATTTACAAAACTTGTAGTTTTACTAAAGTTAAGGAACGTTTATTGCTTGTATAGATGATCGATTTACTACATCAAAACGATAAAAGTTATTCCATATAGCAGCTATCACCTTATGTCAAAGCGAGGAACTGGTTGAGAAACGCTGCTATATAGTTATAACTCTTACATTTACCTTAACAATAGAAAACTTTTAAGTTTTATTAACTTTCCTCAGTTTAATTAAACCTTTTCACAGCATTTAATACCCATTTCCATGTCAACGGATGCAGACACTGAGATATTCGTGACCTTAAGACAAGCCGCAAAGTTCAAGCGGAGAAAGATTTCTTCTTATTTTCCATCCGTTTCTTTGGACTCTTATTTTTTTTCCTTGTTTGTTGTTAACTTGTATTTCTCGTTTTTTTTTTTCTTGACTCTCGACTGCGAAACTTTCTCCGGCGACTTGAGGTGTGCGATGAGGGGGACGAACAGAACAACGAATTGTACTACGATTCCAAACTCTACTTGCTCGTTCGAAATAGAAAACGAAAGTGTTTGACAAAAAAAATAAATTAAGTAACGAATAGGTGCTTTTGATTACGAAACGCGCGCACATTCTTTCGCAACGATCATTGTGTTTACTATTCTTCTTTATATTTCGTTTCATGTGAGTCGTGGATGAATGAAATATTGTTGATAATTTGAATAATTATTTGTACAGGTAATTAACATTCTTTAGGAATATAAGTTTGCATATTTTAGCATAATTAACTTATGTAAAATTAAATATATCGTTTAAAAATATAGTCAATAATCACTTATTACTTACAGTCGTTCGAACTAACATACAAATATCTGCAGTAACGTACAAAGTATAAGGTGACTGTGCACATAGTATGAATGTTAATGAATTTGTCTTGCAGATCAAATCAGGTGGTGACAGTTTTGTTTCTAAATCTCGATGGTAACGTGTACGTTCATGCAAACAATGAGATAAAACAAATATTTTAAAAGTCCGCATATTGAGTGCAACATATTCCCGACTAAAAACCTAGCATCTATTAAACTAGCTTTCTCATAATACTTATGGCCTGTTTATTTATTAACTAAGGAATTTGTCTATATGTAATTGGCACATTAATTAATTGCACTAATATAACAAAAACAAAATATTATGAAAAAAAAGTCGACGAGCAATTGTTTCATAGTTTATAGCTGTTTATAGTTTGATACTATGTACGTCCGAATTAACGTACAAATATCCGCAAGAACGTACCAAATATAAGGTGATTGTATACATATCATGAATGTTTATGCATTTTTCTTCAGTTCAAGTCACGTTTTTCTATTTAAATCATGACTTTATACTGTACATTCGTACGAATATTGAGACACAATCAAATAACCGCCTATTGAATCCAACCTATTCACTACTAAAAACCTAATAACATCTATTAAACTAGCTTTCTCGTAATACAACACTTCTGCCCTGCTTATTTAGTATCTAAGGTTCTTGTCTATCTGTAATTGCCTCATCAATCATTTTTGTATTCTTTCATACTCTCTCTTTTCATGGTGTTAATGTTATTTTCTCAATCTGCGACATGTTGACTATAAAACGTTTACAAGTGAAATTGTGATTATATATTTTTAGTGGTTTCATTATTATTAATAATAGAGAATTAATGGCATGAATGGTTTTCTTAATAAATTGTACACAGCACGCTATAAATAATTACAGTATGTGAAACAAAATGAATTCTATTCAATGATTTTATGATATTTGTTTGCAATTATTGCAACAATTATTTCAATTAATAACAGAGA